ATCCCTAAAAGACCCCATGGAAGCTATCCTCTCTTGGTGCAGTCGCAGGACCACCCAGGTGCATGGTGACGTCAGGGAGCACAGTGTCTTGTCCCGATGAGCCGCTGCACTCCTTTCTGGGCTCCTCCTCCTCCCTTTCCCTTTCTTCTGGCCCTGTGCCTGTCTCCCTTCTTGTCATCTCCTTCCCTCTCCCCAAGGGTCCCTAGTCTGCTCTAATAATGCTCAGTCCCGTTCGTGGAGCACATGGAGATGCACATGACGTGACAGGTGCCGGCTCTGCAGAGACAGACATGCTCCGCTTTTCTGCATCCTGCTTTCTCTTTCCTCCATTTGTGTTCTCTCTCTCTGTCCCCCTCTTCTCCCCGCTCCTCTTTTTCTTTCCAGATTGTGTAGCTCGAGCTGGCCTTGGGCTCAAGACCCTCTTGCCTCAGCCTCCTGTGATTACAGGCACGCACCACTGCTCCCAGATTTTTTTCTTCCTCTTGAGACAGGAATGTGAAAGTGTTCCTCATCCTCAGCATGTTTGTCACTTTGGTCTAGAGCATGGCTGATGCGGGCCTGCCGTGATTTGTAGCTCCTTAGCAGCACCTCTGGCTTCTGCTGCCTGAGTGCCACTAGCACCCCTGCCCCTGCCAATGACAACTGAAAATGTCCCAGATATTGCCAGATGTCCTTCACCTCCAAATGAAAACACTAGGGAATACATACAGGATGGGAATTCATAAAAATCTTCATCAGCTAGTGGTCTTCAAACTATTTGGAGCATAGTCTTGTTCTTTTTTGGTACCAGGGATCAAACTTAGGACTTTGCACTTGCCAGGCAGGTTCTTATGCCACTAAGCTATCTCCCCAGCCCTAGAACATACAGTCTTAAAGCTGTATTTGAACATTCAAATACAGCTATTCAAATACAAATATATGCATACTTACTTATTCACATAAAATGTAAATACTTTCTGAGATACTTTTATAGAAATTATAAAATATTCATAAAAGAAGATTTTTTGGTTTGAACCCAGGGACTGCCCGAACTACTTGAGAGATGGGATAAAAATCTAATGAAGGGCTGGAGAGATGGCTCAGTGGTCTAGAGCACCTACTTGGAGCAGGCTTGGCAAAGCACAGGGACCACGGTTCAATCCTCCAGCACCACATGCCAGCCAGCCGCGCCCCCTGGTGGGCTGAGCTGGCCACACACACACACACACACACACACACACACACACACTAAATGTTAAAAAAAAAAATCTAATGAAAGAAACTTCCCGATATGTGCTGTCTGGTTCCACCAAAAAAAAAAAAAAGAAAAGCCATCTCCTGGTATGTGCTGTCCATGAACCAACTGGGGATCGTATGTACCCCTGGGGTCGGCCCTTCCTCCTGCTGGACCGCAGGGAGGGCAGCCTGGGGGCCGCATGACCCGGGCTCACCACCTGGCTTCAGCTTCCCTCACGGCTGCTTGTGAGTTCAGGCTTCTTCACTCATAGACGAAATATCGTGAATGCAGTGGAACACAAGATGCAACCCCCCGCAGCCCCACGCAGTGAGGCCTTGGGAACCTGGCGGTGTCCGCATCCTCATAGGTAAGTGGGGGGACAGCAGTGAGGGTTACATCAGGTAATACACGAAAAACCAGGTAATCGGTGCCCAAGTGACGCCTCCTTGCAGGGCTATTCGCGGTAGCAAAGATGCATTCGTTTTGGTGGTGGTGGTGGTGGGGGGTTAAGACAGGGTCTCATAATATAGTTCAGACTGACCTTGAGCTCCCTGTGCAGCCCTGGCTGGCCTTGAGCTCTCAGCAGTCCTCCTGCCTCAGCCTCCTGAGTCCTGGGACTACAGGCATGTGCCACCAGGCCTGGCTTGTGACAGCAAAGATGGAAAAAACCCTACCATGTATCCGTAAGGGGCTGAGGCAGTAAACAGTGGTACGGCTGCACCGCGGAAGAACACGTGACAAGTGCACGCTGCTACGGAGTGACCTGAAGATGTACTGTCCAGTGAAATAAGGGGTGCAGGCGTGGGGCTGCGCTGAGGAAGTGAAGCTGAGAGGGTTGTTTTTTTTTTTGTTGTTGTTGTTGTTGTTTTGAGACAGGGAGGGTCTTGTTATGTACTCCAGGCCGGCCTTGAACTTGCTGAGCAGCTCAGGTTGGCTGTTAATTTGTAGTCCATTTGCCTCGGCCTCCTGACCGCTGAAATTACTGTGGGTGCGCCCCACACCACCAAGGCCTGGAGGACTTATTTTTAGGGTAGCATATATGCCACTACAGACCTCTATGTTATTATAATGGTACACATATGCCAACATTCTTTTTTTTATGTACTTAGTACAGGGTCTCACTACACAGATCGGACTGTGAACCTACAGGTAGTGAACCTCCTGTTTTCAGCCTCCCAAGAGCTGGGATTACAGGCGTGCACCATCATGTCCAGTATCATTTGCCATCTCAGCGCACCCAGGGGTGGAGCCAGCACAGCACGCCGGGGAGCTAACCCTGGTGCAGGCGCTTTAGTCCGCTGAGCTATCTGGCCGGCCCACACATGGCAACATTATGCATTTATCAAACACTCATAAATTTATTTTTCTACTTTCTGTGTCAGGAATTGAACTCAGGGCCTTTGCAATCAAAGAAGCCAGGACTCTTGTAATATAATACCTGGTGCTGGATCTAGAGCACTTTGTGCCAGACAGTGAGGAAATGCTCAATAAAGCACAAGAGGGCCAGCAAGATAGCTCAGTGGACTAAGTGCCTGCTTAGGCCAGCGCAGGGACCGGGGTTTGATCCTAGGCACCACATTCTGCACCAGCCTTGCCCCCGAGACTGGGCATGGTGGCACATGCCTGTAATCCCAGAGCTGGGGAGACTGAAAATAGGAGGATCACTATGAGTCCAAGCTGCATAGTGAGACCCTGTACCAAATGCATAAATCAAAAAATAATATCCATAGATCTCTATTGATGTAAATATTGAATATTGAATAAACAGCGGAGAAGAGGTGCACCTCCTGTGTGGCAGAATTCCAAATAGTTTATGCGGACACCCCGATTCTACATAAGCGGAGCAAACCCCTACTCCTTAAGCAAAACTGTCCAATAGGACTTCTTCTGAAGAGGACATCGTGAAAAAGGAGAAAACAGGGCCAGGGAGACTTTTTTTTTTTTTGGCAGAACCAGGGATTGAACTCAGGCCCTTGCGCTTGCCAAGGAAGCACTTATTATACTGAGCCATCTTCCCAGCCCCAAAACAGCAAACTTATAGTGGGGGGACATGACCAGTGCCACTCACTCCAGAGGCCAGTCCTCTGCTAAGAACCGTGTCAGACAGCTTGAGTGCACTCTACAAAAGACCTGACCGGTGCAAGGTCATGAAAAGCCAGGACAGCCTGAGAACCTGCCACAGGTCAGAGCAGCCTAAGGAGATCAAATGTGTGGGCGGCCTGTGTGCACCAGCTGTTTCCAGGACAGACGCTGAGGTAGGGCTCGTGCCCAGCTTAGGAAACACTCGCCCTGACTGTCACCCTGATGATGCCCAGCAATTTTCCTGACCCTCTGTGAGGTCTCAGGCTATGGTTCCTCATCCAGCGAGGCCACACAGGTTGACGTTCCAGGCTGGGGTCGCAGCCATGTTTAGGAAGTGAGCTTTGGGCATACTCTCAAGCTTCCCCGTGCCTTTTTTCTCAATGTCTTAGTTATATTTCTCACTGCTGAGACAAAATACCCAACATCCAAAGTTAAAAGAGTGTGGTTCAGCTTGTAGAGTGACACATTCTAAATCCAGTCGCTGATGAGGACACGAGGCTTGGGGGGCACATCTAGCTATGAGCCCTGCAGCAGGAAGTGTAATTCTGACCACTGTCATATTGCTCATGAAGAGCACATGCACACGTTAGCCTAGTGTCTAGCGCTTAGTGCTCAGTCAGCTGTGGCCATTTATTATTATT